TAAAATATAAATTTTATATTATTTAATAATTAATTTTTTTATTTTTTTAAATTTATAATATTATATGTATCAATGAATTTAATAATATAATTTATATCTTATTATTAATTTTAAAATTTTATTCTCTTTATCATTATTTAAAATAATTAGACTCCAATATGATCTGCCATTTTACTCAAATAAGAAACTCTTTTTGGCATATAACCTACAAAGGTACAAATAAAACAAAAAAATAATGCATTTTTTGCCGTTGTATAATAGTTGCCCCTTGTATAATAGTTGCGTTGTATCCTGTGCAGTTTAACCCCCACAATATACAGTTTCCTCTTTGGTGCAATATTAAAGCATGTCATCCCATCCAATCCATGCGATAGTAATGATTCACCAAGGAAAATACCTCACCAATCACCACACCTTCTCCACATGGCTACCAAAGTGAATAGAACCCCTCCAAAGCTACAAACATCTTGATTTTTAATAACAGCTAAACTTATTTTATTCATTATGTTAGCTTAAGCTCAAATCTTACTCGTATAGTTTTGTAAATGATCCAAGTTGAGAATATATAAGCTAAACTCAATAATGTTTAGTGGTGTTTGTGGTTTAGATGAATTAGTTTTTTACTATTTTTTAATTAATTTAATTTAATCAAATTAAATAAATGCCAAATCAACCTAATTCAATTAATATTTTATAATCAAACCAATTCAACTATTATTGAATTGAATTGATTTTAATTAAATTTATCTGTTTTATCTTAAGGAAAGAAAGACATTTTTTAGAATTTAATTATATTGTTCTTCCTTTCGTGAATTTCGATTATACAAAATATCAATTATACAAAAATAAAAACAAAAACAAAACTAATTAAATTGGTAATAAATAGAAATATTGCATAACATAATTTTAGAGATAAGATGAATAAATGGTGAGAATATAAAAATTGAGAAATTTTTTTAATTAATTCTTTAATTTGAATCACATGTTCATAAACCAAAATCACAAACCAAACTAATTCAATTGGTTTTTAACTTTGTTTAAATAAAATTAATCTAATTAAATAACAAGTTTAATCAATTTTTAATTAGATTGATTTGAATTGAGCCAAATTAATCGAATTCGTGCGAATATAAGTACCCCTACTTATGTTAATGAATGAATGATTCATAAAGTATGACGCCTCATATCTCATGTTGAAAAAAAAAAAAAAAGAAGTGAAGTTCATATATAAATAATTAGTTATTGAAATGACCTCAACCAAAATCCTTCAGTGAGTTAACCAATAAATAAGGATCCATTAAAAGCTCCATGTAAGTTTGATACATCATACATGAACTCTAAAATATCATAGAGAAGCATATGCTTTAGCTAAATAAATGCATTAGTAAACGAGTTTTCTAAATGAGTCAAAGATTGAGCTTGATTTTTAAACTCATTTAAAGTTAACTTGAAGTTTAAGCTGCTCAACTATACTGGTTTATGCATACTCTTGCGAATCTTTGACACATTAAAACTAGAAAAACCCAAGAAAGCCAGCCCCTTAAGTCATCATGCATGGTGACAGTTAATTTGTGTAATGAGAATCACTAATTTGTTTTCTAAAATATTATTGTATAATTTAAATTGCATCATAAAATATTAGACGAAGGGATAAATTTCTTAATATTGAAAGTCTTTATATATTTAATTATTTTTGTTTTATAGTTTAAATTATAAAATAA